ACCAAGCATATTGCGTATAATTTATTGTGTATAGCGTATCATTGAGCAAGATCGCAACGTAACGTGGAAAATTCCTCAAAACAATAAAATGCTTTGATTTGTTTTGTTTTTTTTTTTCTATCGTAAGCTACAGATTTATTCCATATTTTATTTTCTCTTTCGATAACAAAGAACCAACCAGCGCTGTCATGTTTTATGCATTCTAGTCACTCTCGTTCTTCCACACCGTGAGATGGGTCTCGACTTCCCTTAGCAAATCTTGCATTTTTGCACTCCGTTCAACATTGCTGTCCAATGTGCAGAAACTTTCGACCTCGGAGAGTTGATTTAGTTTTGACTCGATTTCTGCCGCACCAGGTGGTGGATGAAAATATCAACCACTGTAGAGGGGTCCAGGAATAAATCTGTAGTTTACGATAGAAAAAAAAAAAACAAAACAATTAAAAGCGTTTTATTGTTTTGAGGAATTTTCCACGTTATGTTGCGATCTTGCTCAGTGATACGCTATACACAATAAATTATACGCAATATTCTTGGTAAGCCTTATATATGGAAAACATGTTTTTCTAACTAGTTCGTTAATTTGGAAGGCTCAATCACGTTAGCTTTACGGAGTCGATAGTTCATTGTTCTTTGTTTGTAACAACATTCACTTAATTCTATGTCTAGTAGGAGTTGGGCCGAATACTCGTGGCTTACTCGAGGTAAGAGAGGTACATTGTCGAAGGATAGGATCAGGGGAGGAGCTTGGGGGTAAGGTTTCGTTGTCTCATCAGAGCGTTGTCACCAACGGTAGTGCGGATCTAGTTTCGTCTGGAGTTCGATCGGCTATGGTGACCATGGAAAACATATTGGATTCCAAAATAGCGTCTGGAATCTATATCTGGCCTCTACACGTCGTCCATTTTCGGAAATTCCCACATTGTAGTGTATTTGACAGTTTTTCTTAAACTGATAAATTTCCGGCCTCTACACGTCATCCCTTTTCCGGTTCCTGTTCTCACATTGCACAGCAACATCTTATATGGACAAGCTTTGGAGACATAACATATTAAGGAAGTTCATGCGTACACTAGCGCCGCGTAGTGTGAGAGTTCTGAAATAATATGATGATCATCCAAAAGGACTTAGTCATCTGAACAACTTTGCTCAAGACAGTAACCTTCTATATGGCCAGGTTCTCGAGATACAGCTTATACAGGAAATTTACTTGCTCACTAGCGCCGCGTAGTGAGCGTGTTTTGAACTTATATGACCATCATCCGAAAGGACTTGATCACCTGCACAACTTTGCTGAAAACAGTAACCTTCTATATGGCCAGGCTTTCGAGATACAGTTTATATAAGAATTGCACATGCACACTAGCGCTGCGTAGTGAGAGAGTTCTGAACTAATATGGCCACCATCCGAAAGGACTTGATCACCTGGACAACTTTGCTGAAGACAGTAACTTTCTATATGGTCAGGATCACGAAATATTCTATGTTGGAAATATGATGCATATATTATAGCGCCCGTCATAAGTAACATAAAAGTGAAGCGCCTCTAGCGGCGTAGTTCCCAATTTAACCTGAATTCAAGGGCACAGGCTTGTTGGGCTAACCCAGTACAGCAACTTTGTCGAAGACAGTATAGCTTTATGTATTGAAACAAATGAGATAATCCACTACAGCCCCCATTAGTGAAAATCCCATAAGCTGTGGGTATCCTTATTCGCGGATAGCCCGGCAATAAGGATCCGGCAATAAGAGATACCGGCAATAAGGAATCCGGCAATAAGGATTCCTGACTGTATATACACACATACAGAAACATTTTCCGATCCCGTTGAGATGAGTCTATTGGTATAAGACATTCTTCTCTCCGGGTCTTGGAACGAAATTATGTTTTTCAAGTGATATCATACACACTTAGAAATAACTACTTTATACGAGACGTAATCCATATTGGACTTAAATCATGGAACGTAAACAAACATTTCATGTAAAATTAAGTGTTCTCAAAACGAAACATAAGGAACTCGACGAAGAGAATGTTTGATTGAATTGATTTTCTAGTTTCTTTTAACTGATTTTTATGTGAAAAGGGCCGCTTACACATGTCGGTCTCAGGGAACCGAAATTTTTACGACTTTTTCGTAGTGTGTTGCCTTTCGGTACACCTTGGTGTACGAGAAAGGCATAAAGGTTGGTATCAGCAAATTGTGTTATATTTAGCCAAGTTTTTCTCCCCCAGGTGTGTAATTATTTTGCAAAATGTAATGAATATGTTTGATATATCTATAAATATATATAAAACTGTATTTGCAAAATCGTTACAACAGTGTTAATTTTTAGCGCTAATTCATCGTACTTGGCTTAGTTGTACAGTACTCTCGATTTCTCGATAATCTTTATTTCGATATTCCTTCCTATCTGAATCGTTTTTCAAACAGCGTATTAATAAGCTTATAGATTGCTCTTTTGATTGTCGATTTTTTTCATATTAGGTGGTTAAAAGTTGAATCTCTCACTAAGATGTGCTCGTTCCCCCGCTGCTGGCGTGCAAAAGGACCAGTACTAAGTAACTAACGGATTTCCTCACTACATGGCATATAAGATCGACTCAAATTACGAATTAAATTACTCAAACTCTAGAAAACGTAGTAAAATTTTCCGAGCCTCATAAATCTTTTCGAATATGAGAAAAATCGACAAAAAATTTACTCTTTATAGCAAGGCTGTCATCTGATCACTCAATGCGCGCAATGTACTAGTTTTCTGAAATAAACAAATTGAGAATCAAGCAAACACAAAGTTTGCTTGTCTATCACCCTGTGCAAGTGCAAAGCAGCGGAGAAGAGAAGACAGACACACACCCAGAAATAACGAAAGCTCAATGTGTAGCCATCGCTCCGACGGCTCCGACACAAAAAGCACCACTCAGTGTAGGGTTGCAAATGGGAAACCCAGCAAAAGACAAAATTCTTCTTCGTTATGCTCTTCTTCATCTCCTATGTATGCAGTCGTGGTAAGCAAAGTCTGCAAATAATTCAAAGAAGACATTAGCGCTGGCTGTATATTCGCTCCCTGCGCCGCACGGAGTGTACCGCTCATTGTGTGGATCGCTTTCTCACAGATTAATTGAAATGAGTGTGCGGAGTAAATGGGAGAACCACACACTCTTTGTCGAGTGTTGTGAGATGCATACACAAAGTTACTTTGCTAACGCTCTGAGGTGCTTTGCAGCCCTGCACTATAGAAGTATACACTCAAAGAATAAACCACATATCCAATGGAAAATATTCATTAGAATTTTACATAACTTTCATGTGATATCATTATTGGGAATTGCACCACAAGATCACATGAACCTTATGTGTCAAATTAAATTTAAGTGATTTATCATATAGAACTCATGTGATGACATGCATGTTATGTGAAATTCAGATAGATTTCATGGGTTTTGTTAATGTAAAAAATTTTATGTGCATTCCCAATGGAAACTGCTTGAAAACGTGTTTCGTGTACATCGAAATGTTGCTCATATTAGAAAACAAATTCCTGTAAAAGCTCGGAAAGTTTAACTCAGTCTATGAGTTAACTACGTTTTCAAGAATATGAGTGAACTAATCTCAACTTTGAGGCGACCTCATTTGTCGTGGAATCGTAATTTAACTTTTTTTTATTAATAGCTTTTAACGTATACCGCATAAATGGATGCATTCCCAACTCCACTTAGGTTCAATTCGTTAAAAGCAGGTCTGTTTTGCTCGAACATTAGTTTTACAAACATTTAAAATTTCGCATCTATTTCATGACCACCTTACCCCTCCCTCCCGTCCCTCTCCGTCACACACAAAACTTTTGCTAATTTTATGCAGCTCAATTACAGACAGTTCTGAAATTCAAAGACATTTTTCGCATACCTTTAAAAATAATAATCTGGCATCTCTGGTGTGCAGGATCAATTTTCTTTTCTCGTCTTACGTCTAGTACAACTTTTTTTTTCAATACTGCACGTATCGAGTAGAAACTTTCACCACTGAAACACGTGTACTTTCAAAACAAGGTGCTGTTATTTAATAAATAAAGTGTGGATTCGGACATTATTCAGGTATAAAACTTGATTTGGTACTGAAGTGGTTAACTGTAACAGAGAAGCTCATTTTTGCATGAGTGGACGACATTCTAATGTAGGGCCTCCCTTAACTCAGCCATGCTGAAGGTGGCTGGGTTTGAAACCCGGTCCGGTCTAGGATTAGGCTTGGGAAAATCCTCGACTTCCCTGGACATAATAGCGTATCAATGTACTTGCCACGAATACGGATGCAAAAATGGCACTGGCTTAGAAATCTTTTAATTAACAACTGTGGAAGTGCTGATAGAACACTAAGTTTGAGAGCAAGTGTAAGGTTCCAGTTGGGACGTTATAGATAAAGAAGAAGAAGAACATTCACAGGATGGATAGGTTGTTAACAATGCTAACAACTTAAGTATGATGAAGCTACGCTTGATAATGGAAACAAGTGCAACTTAACTTGTGTTGGTTTCTATATTTAAAATAATAGTGTTTTTATTTCCCTTGTAAATTTTAAACGGGTCGTCCAATCGTTCAACTGTCAACCGATAATTTGAAGGTAAATATAATATATGTGTATCTTGCAAAACTTATGATTGCTGATGGCCACTTTTGGACAATATTTTGAACTTTTTGTTTATAAAATTTATTGTGGCATTATTTGAAAGGTTTTCAAAGGGAGTAGCATACACTCACTAAGACGTTGCTCCCAAAAGACATCGCCATTTAAAATTCAAATTCCGTTGTAACGTATGCTCAGTTCACTATAGCAGAAGATATTTTGGATACCTCTCAGTCTAATTATAATTAAAATTAACGTACTTATGGCATATGTTTTCGTATTTCGAATGCCATAATTTGTGGAAGCGCTTTTGTTAGATGCAATTACCTAGGTTTGGAGATTTTGAAAAAGGTTTGTAGATATGCTTTTTTTTGGTACTTACTCGTTATACTCCTGGTTCACCGTATCATTATTGTAGTTTGACACCATGACGAACAGATCATACTGCTGTCCTTGTGGAGTTCCCTTCGGTAGCAACATATGCGAAGGCCAGCCGCAGTTACAGAACCGAAATTGATCGCTGTTCGGCTGAGTGGACATGGTAACGTTGCGGAACGTACGCTCATACGGAATGGTGACACTTGATTGATCCGATCGACGCACAATGTTGTTTTCCCCTGGGTTCACTGAAATGTTTGCATTCAGTTTATATTAAGGACGCTTTTTTAGTTTTCAATGGAATCTTACAATTTACTGTAAAGGTATCCAATTCAATCATCCAACGACGTTGGTCAATGAAAGGAATATTTTTTCCAGTCTCGTCATTCTTAGGACCCAGGAAAAGTCTAACTGTGCCACGTTTGGTAGCTTCACTATCGTTCTTTATCTGAATTCTATACGTAAAAGGTGCATGCTGAATGTGAGTAAATGTGGCAAACACGTTTCCTTCTGGTCCAAAATCAAGTCCTGTGCCAAGATCTACTTGAGATCTCTGCCAGAACGTGAGTAAAATGTTGCTCTTTGATCCTGCACGATTGTGTTGAACGTTGAAGGAATCAACTTCAATATCCGAATATGAGAGCTGCGATGAAAAATGGTCAATATAGTACTGCATTTGAATAAATGAACGTAATTTCGCACATCATCTTTGCTGTATGGCTTGAAGCGACGTTTGTGGCGTTGGAAGACATCATCAATATGCTGATGCCAGCGATAGAAGACGGGGTCACGCATAGCCGTTGTGTTGTCTCCAATTACACCGAAGCCTTCCAAAAACGAGTTGTCTGGATCGTGTATGTAGGCAAGCATGTTGTGCAGTCTTCCGTAGTAGTTGACATTGGGTGAAAGGGTTGAATTTTCCACCATATTTCCTAGAACATCGATTCCTTCTTTGTTATCGAGTGGAATTTTTCGGCCATCGGTCTGAAAAATTTGGTTGCAGCTCGTGTGTCAACATAATCAATCGCAAGATACTTACTGCAGTAGCAGAACCTGCATCGATTGCTTGAAATATTCTGCTAGTCCACAGTTCCATGTCAGCGATCGATACGATCACTTGATCTTCGACACGGTTCAAATCCTGTGGGTTATATTATGTTAGTTTTCTATGTTAATCTGTTGACGGCAACTCACAGTTAACAGTTGGTTCCGTCCACGACCGGGATAAGAACGGTTGATAGAGCTCTGGGTAATTTTCGGGTAATACGCTTCCGGAATGGGTTCTCGAAGATTAATGAAGGGTCGTACTCTGCGTAAACCGTTACAAAATCGCTCCGTGTTGTACCGCGCTACCGTTTGTTGATGCATGTAATAGAAAAGTTCACCTCTACGATCCTTACGGACGACGTTGTCCGGTCCTTCGGCAGGGTACACCAAGTGCCAGTGCCAATGGTGTAAGTTGACCCCGATATCCTCGCGCCAATAAGCCATTCTCTGTTCTAGTTCTCGGTCGGATGCGGTAAAATTCATCGGAATATCGATGGCCATCTGTGGGTGGGGCATTATTTTTCTTATCTATCTCATGGGCTCGTACGGCCGCTGAAGTAACCCGTGAAATTTAGTATTATTGGATGCCATCGCGAACAACAGATATCGACTGTTTGCTAAATTAGGGAACGAGACTATTTATGCATTCGCTTATGATGTGAGAAAACCGCAAACGGACATAGATAAAAGATGTTTGTCTCGATGTGGTTTTTGTGAGTTTTAAAATGATAGCTGGAACTTTTCCCTACATGATGATGCTGCTGGTTTGCGTGGGCACGGGTAGGCTACGTTTTGCGAGGAAAGAGTTTACAAAGTTTTGTTTACTAAAGCTGATAGGCCCTTTTATGTTGTTGGTTGAGAATGTAAATATGCGTTAATGGAAGTTGCTTCTATACTACCTATACACGGTACGATGCTATGTTATCATCTAGTCTAGAGGCTTCCAAACTTTTAAAGTAAGTGATCCTTATGTGATACAGCATTATAGTCTCTATCAGGGTTGTTAATCGATAACTGTCGATAATGTCAGCGTTAACATATGCAATGGGAGACCTCCCTTAGCTCAGTCGGTAAAGGCGCAGCTACAAAGCAAGATCATGCTGGAGGTGGCGGGCTTCGATGGAAAATTTCTCGACTTCCCTGGACATAGAGTATATGATTGTACTTTCCACATAATTATACTAATGCGAAAATGGTGCAGGCATCAAAAGCTCTCAATTAATAACTGTGGAAGTGCATCTAGAACACTAAGCTAATATGCGATAAGCAATAAGCTTGAAATGTTAAGAGGAAGAAGAAGAAGAACGTCTGCAATGGTAAATTTGCATTGCAGACGCGCATACATTATCGACGGTTATCGATTAACAACCCTGGTCTCTATAAAAAATGATAGGGAAAATAGATGTAATGTCGGCCTAGGGGCATTTGGGCACATACATAAATTCAGTTATCAACTAAATTTTCAATAGCGACCAAAAATATCCATTAGTACCGTCCCAATGACGGTTCATCTGGATAAAATTGATAAATAGCAGATTTTTAGCAATGGGCCCACTCTTAGATCTATAGGCCAATATTAGAACCATTTCCCCTATATTATATTTTCAGTCAGTAATTTATTCGGTTCTTCGAGCATTAGTTACTGTTTGTCTCTATGCGATTCATGGACATTGATTGCAACAAGAAGATATATTTGCGTTTTCGATTCGTTTTAAAAGTAGGCACCGTAAAGTACCATAATTTTGCGAAGCTATGGCCTAATAAATTCAAATAAAATAGCAATATACTGCAAAATTTTGCCTTAATGCACGGAATTCTGCAAGCGCTGCGCAAAATTATGGCACTTTGCGGTATATTAAACCATATAATTTTGTAATGGAGCGAAGTTTCAACTCAGGATCTGGCAATGACGGTATTGGTGAAACGTATCTGAACTTGATTGAGGGCCATATTCTTGTAAGGTTTAACAAAATCGTTCAGACTGGATACGGATGGAGGCGTTACACGATCAAACGGAAAACCCATGCTGCGCGCATCGGGATAGAGTCGGTCACGTAGGCCACAGAACATGTGAGCATCGTCGCATGGTATGGTTCTGAAAATGTGAAATGAAAAGTGAATCATACTGTATTAGGTATTTACAACTTAAGCGGGACTATATATCTTTTGTCTAACTATCATTTTCCGCAACGTATCACTTACGGATGCAATTTACGAGGGTTTCAAGGGGGGTAAATGACGGCAGTCCAAAACTCAAGGACATCATCCCCTGACGAAAAAAAAATGTTTTGCCGAAGTACAAGCGTGAACCTACCCAACACTAATAAAAATAGTGGCTATACTTACTCGTCAAATTGCTGGTTTATAGCGTCGTCATTGTAGTTGGAAACCATGACAAACATATCAAACTGAGTTCCCTGGGGAGTTCCTTTCGGAATTAACATGTGCGAAGGCCACCCGCAGTTGCAGAATCTGAACTGATCGCTATTCGGTTGAGTGGATGCCACAACGTTACGGAACGTTCGTTCGTACGGAATGGTAAGGTTTGATTGTTCCGAACGGCGTACGATGTTATTATTTCCTGGGTTCACTGAAATTTCAAAACCGCTAGGTGTTAGAGATGAGCTAGATGGGCGAATCAAATACTCACAATTAACGCTAAATTTATCTAGTTCAATCATCCAACGGCGTTTATCGTGGAATGGGATATTCCTGCCACTTTGATCGGTTATGGGTCCTATAAAGATGCGAACTGTGCCACGCTTGGGGGTTCTGCCACTGTTATTGATTTTGATTTGATAGCTGAAGGGAGCATGCTGAATGTGGGTGAAGGTAACAAATGCAGTTCCATCGGGTCCAAAATCAAGTCCGATTCCGAGATCCACTTGAGATCTTTGCCAGAAGGTCAGAAGAACATTGTTCTTTGCTCCGGGACGATTCAGCGTTATATCAATAGAGTTGATCTCAATGTTTGAATTGGAAAGCTAGCAAAAATAATCACTTCAGTTTTGATTCTTCCATAATAGTTATACCCTTGCTACCTCGTCTTTGCCATATGGTTTAAATCTGCGCTTATGTCGCTCAAAGATGTCATCCACATGTTGGTGCCAGCGAAAAAAGACTGGATCTCGCATAGAAGTTGTGTTGTCACCGACTACGCCGAAACCTTCCAGAAACGAATTGTTTGGATCGTGTATGTAGGCAAGCATGTTATGTCCTTCGATATGTAATCTACCGTAGAAGTTCACATTCGGGGAAAGTGCTGACTGTTCAACAATATTCCCAAGAACATCGATTCCTTGTTTATTGTCAAGAGGAATCCTTTGACCGTTAGCCTGCATAATTTAAGCAATAATGATTGAAGATTATAATTGCTACACTTAACGCTGGCTACTTACAGACATTGCGAACCCGGAGTCAATTGCTTCGAATATTCTACCAGTCCATAGTTCCATCTCGGCAATTGTTACAACTACCTGGTCTTCCACACGGTTTAGATCCTTCCAAAAGATTATGATTAGCCTCTAAAGAACAACCTCAATCTCAGTTACACTTACGTTCAATTGTAGATTACGACTGCGACCCGGATAAGTACGATTGTTCGAACTTTGGGTGATTTTCGGGTAATATCCTTCCGGAATTGGATCTCGGAAGTGCGCCAAGGACTGCACCCTTGGTAAGCCATTGCAGAATCGTTCAATGTTGTATCGGCCTTGAATTTGTTGGTGCATGTAATAGAACAGTTCGCCACGACGATCTTTTCGAACTACTCTGTCAGGCCCCTCGCCGGGATATATCAAATGCCAGTGCCAGTGATGAAGGTTGACACCGACATCCTCCCGCCAGTACGCTAGTTTTTGTTCCGGTTCACGATCCGATGCGGTATTATTCACCGGGATATCGACCGCCATCTGTGGATACATGATGTCTATAGTCCTAATCTGCCGCTATTCGCATAACAGTCTAATGTATTTTTTTTGTTTATTAATTTATTTGATGAGGCTCAACCGAATTAACTTTACAGAGTCGATGATTCTTGTTACTATACTAAACAACTATACAATACATCTTAAAACTATAGTCAAAAAGTACAACACAATAAACATTTTATCTTCCGCTCTCCAATAAGCCTCCTCCACCAGAACGGAAGCTGCTTCCAGTGGTTTCATTGTATGGCAGATTCGCCAACGGGGGTCAGAGCGCTTCCATTGCAGCAATGGACGCAAATCGTGGTCAGCACTGACACATTCATCACGAAACGGTTGCTTTCCAAAGTCGACGACGTATCGACTGAAAGCACTGCTGATGAAGAACAATGAGGAGGACCACACAATGGCTGCTGCCGAGTAAACAGACGATCGCGTGACACACATTGAGAGTGGTCTGCATCTGTCGACAGCCGAGTGAACACTGACAATCTAATGTAAATAATATTAAAATTCTACACGCCATGGAACTATTCTCCGAAAAGTGTTACTACCGTTCCAGTGATGATTCAGAGATATTAGGTTACCTCAACTACACAGGTATATAAAACCTGTTTAAAATACTAAACTTCTAAGGTACTCGAAATAGGGTGTCGTTCTTATCTCACTCAACGAGCGATGGTCTTACTACAGCAGAGCATAATTTTTCAAAAAAATTAATTAGCAACATATTATTGATCAAAATTATCTATAATCGCTCAAAGATGAAGACAACGAGTTAAGATGGGAATGTGTATGCAAAACAACAGGATTGTAATGTTTTAGTGCTGTCAAAACCTTAAAATTTGCATGGAAAAATAACATCCAGCTGCACACAAACCGCACGAATGATGCTTGGGTATGTTTTGTTTATTTTTTTTTTGGCATTTGACAGTTCATTGTGGACTAGAGATGGACGATCCGCTCCCGAGCTGTTCTATAGACCCGATTCTCTCACGTGAGCTGATGACCCGCGTTTCATTTTTTAGGAACCGCAGCTCATCAGCTCACTGATATCACAAGTCTAAACCATTCAATCCATCATTCATAGCGGAACTTTTCAAAAAAGGACTCATTACTCCACTTACGCATTGAATAGTCGCCGCGTAAACCAAGACGCAAGCGTAAGACACCATGTGCCTACTGATCGACAGCACCAATGGTAAAAGCAAACTTCCAAGCGGCTGTTTGGGAGAGAGAGACAGAGTATGCACATGTGCTACGCGATGTTAATTTTTTACTGGTATTATCCAATTTATTCATGTACCCAGCTCTTATTGCTGATGTTCCTCCCATAATTCTCTGGGGGAGCGGAAGATCCGCACAAAACAAATAACTGAAAAGCGAAATGCAGCTCTCCAGCTTATCAGCTCAGCTTGGGATCCGAATCATCTACTCGAATAATTCACTGGGAGCTGTTGACAACTCTCGGACCCGTCCAGCTCTTCGGATCTTTTTTTCTCTCTCGATTCTTCACGATTCAGTTCCGGATCCGAATCTGAGCTGATGAGCTGTTGCTGAAGCCGATAATTGTGAGAGAAATTCTGCTGGAGAATTAACATCAGAAATAAAATCTGTATGTAGACTGGATTACATAGCTTGAGAAAAAGTGTAAAGCGCCCATTACACATGTCAATATATTGACAAACATCGTATTGTCAATTTTTCTTACAATATTATCAATACATACATATTGACAACATTAATGACAACACACTAAAGCACTCTTTACACGGGTCAATATATTGACAGTAAATTGACACACTGACAATATTATTGAAAAGGTAATATTGATGACGATGGATTGATGACGAGTATTGTTGAAAAACTGATTTTCATTGCACTTTGTCAATATTCTTCCCCTACCCAAGGGGAGGGAGAACGTACGTCATTTAGATCGACTGACTCACAATGCACCTTTGCCCATGTAGCGAGGCATGCAGTGTTGCCATTTGTTTAAATCTTCATGTGTGATATAAAATCGATTTCAAACTAAATAAAAAATGTATTTTTTTATAGTCAACAATCATCCAGGCTTCGTTTATATGGATGTACATTTTCTACAAAATCACAAGCATATCCATGTTACTTTTTTACTTCAAAATAACATAAATATTATCAGCGTTTCACATACCTACACGTAACGTAAATTAATTATTATATGTATGATTTTCATTTATGAATGTTTAACAAAACGCACTCGACAATCGATTTTTATTAAATTTGAAACATTTGGAAGTACATGTCATGTGATCTGTTGTTCTGTGCATTTTCTGTGTCCTGTCAAACAGTTTCAACATTTGGTATTTGAATGACAAGTCGCAAAATAATTCACGTTCACGGTACTTCCTATTTTAATTAATAAACTATATGTGTGGCCATTAATACAGTTTGTATGACACATTACATTAACTTTCTTGCAAGTCTTCTGATCATTAGTTTACTTTAATAATCATCAATAGTAATTTTTCAGAAAGTATAAGAGGATTTTCATCATGATAAATATAGTGTATCATTAAGATAAAACTAAGCATTATATGTATGGGCAACATTAGGTAAACGTTATTCTTCTAACGAAACAGGAGAGTTCAGTGATATCAAAAATAAAATTGGATGCTATAATTAATCACCTAGTTCATTCATCAAACAACATTCCTTTAAATTTATATGAGAACTTAAGAATAGACTTGGACTAGATCATTATATAACACTATTTATTCTAAAAATCCTGGAAATTAATTTAAAATGTGCAAGTATAAGTTGGGTGAAAATTGGTTTCTATATATATCTACTAAATCAGGACTCCGCTCTAGAGATGAACTAGCCTAAGGCTAAAAATCTCTTAAATAAATAATTAAAAAAAAAAAAGGACTCCGCTGTTTGGTAGTTTTTAAACTACGGAACTGTTCGGTAAAAGTTTACAAATCAGTGGAAAATTTTAAACTTTGGAGTTTTTTTTCCGAAAATGTACAGACCTGGTAAACCCCTTTTAAAGATACAAATCAAATTTGTTGATTTTTTTTGTTTGGCAAAATTTACCGCCTTCGGTGATTCGAATTCAGTGTGTAGCTAGTATTTTCTATACAAACAGGTCCAGCAATCGTTTCTGTTTGGACCCGAATGCAAACGTTAACTCTATACACACTTTCGTTCGCTGATCCATGTTTCTTGTGTGCGGGAATTGAGACATGTAATATTGACTTTAATACATTGAAGTAAAAAGGCTTCTAACGTGTTGCCATTAATGTTGTCAATATTCGTATATTGATGATATTGATGGCGAAATTTACGGTTTTTTGTCAATACATTCTGAGGATTGACAAAATGAAATTAAAATCAGCTTTTCGTCAATACTTGCCATCAATTATCGTCTTCAATATCACCTTTTCAATATTATTGTCAGTATGTCAATTTAATGTCAAGATATTGATATGTGTAATGGGCGCTTAACATCGTGGGCCACGATGTGAATCATATCATCGCGTGTGACATAGGTGTAGCTCTCTCGCATACATTTTTTTGTTTTTACTGATTTGTTGTTGGCACATTTTGCGCGCATTTTGGTTTACGCGATGGTTGATCAGTTGTTGCGTTATTGGCGTTTTCCACAGTGCCATATTATAAGGTACGGATTTATTGGTTTAGACTACTTTTACGATTTTATGCAGTTTTATGCACTTAAACCACAAATTAATTTTCCGATTTTGAATTTGTGTCATAATTTCTATAATTTCAATGTGAGCTGAAGAGATGTTCAAAAGAATCAACTCCCTTTAGTGAGCTGGATGGGTTTGATCCACTCAGCTAGATGAGCTGTTTTGCCCACCTCTATTGTGAACGCAATGTGTCTATAAATGTTCAAAATAATGAAGAAAAGAATGACCCATGTTTATTTAGTTCAACTAAAACTGCTTTCTAGCAAGAAGTGATGCCGAGCTTACCCACAGTTTCGGCTTGCCTGTAGTTTCCCTATAAACAACTAAGATAATGATAACTCAATAAATTAATAATAAATAAAAAAAATTAGGATAAAGTGCAGAGCGAAATACGATTTTCAAGGAATAAAAAATATCTCCGAATGACAAAATGACAAGCGATCAACGAACCGAATAATAACGCTATGTCAGAAGTGCAAAGCAATAATGAAATAATCTTCTTCCTTCTTTTTCATGACAAGCAGCCCGTGCGACACAACTTACTCGGGGCGGTAGAAGGAAACGAGCAAATTATTGGCAAGCTGCTTCACGAAGTAAAGCCGAACATGATACACGTGTGTTAATGGAAATTTTTTTGTTATGTCTTTTCTCGATTCATATCAAGCTATGTCCTCATCCGTGTATATTGCAACAAAGCAGGCAAGCAATAAATCATTATCCTTCTACAACTCCGATCGAGCTATGTTACAGAGCGAGTTTGTCATGGTAGTCGTAGCAACCGTTTTGTCTGTATCGTTGGTTGCTTTATGTGTTTGGATTCGCTGATTTTTAATAGGATTAAATTTTTGTTGCCCCTTCAATATTTTGTAATTTTTGAGGTTGTGAGATCTGACTCTTCTTACTAATATAATGTCGACAGAAGTGCTCATATGATGTGAGGTGATGAATTCTCATGTGATTTAAGGTATCGCATGATGGATTTTGAGTCAAAAACGGAACATGGGCGGATGTGCACACTACGCAAAAGTAATGTATATTTCGGTTCCCTGATGTTACACATGTAAGCGGCCCATTTTGACATAAAAATCAGTTGAAAAAACGAGCAAATCAATTCAATCAAACGTTCTCTTCGTCGAGTTGCTTATGTTTTGGTTTGAAAACACTTAATTTTACATGAAATGTTTATTTACATTCCATGATTTACGTCCAATATAGATTACGTCTCGTGTAAAAGTAGTTATTTCTAAGTGTGTGGCCAGTGTGAACCTGGGCATTCCAAACGACCCTCAATGAACTGGTTTTTGAATTTGCATGTGATGGTATGGCATGATGGATTTTGGTCATTAGCATTAGCATTAGCATCGAACAAGTTGCACAATATCGTAGGTAGTACGAATTCAAAACTATTAAGAGCAAGACGGATATCTATTACTGAACAGATAGTAAGTAGGAAACAATTACTCTCTCCCATATAAAGACATATCCCGCTCCAACAGTTAAGGATTGTCCTAGCCACGTCCTTACAACTGGTAGGGATAGGAAAGGTATGTTAGTCCAACATTTACTAAGAGAGATGCAGAGAACTCTACGACCCCTCATAAATGTCTCGGGAATTTAGGAATTATGTTAGTAGTGAAGGTAAGTCATAGGATACACCCAGTCAGTGTTGCTGGCAAATGAAGATTTTTTTTTATAAATGTTGAAATTGCTGTCCAGACGATCTGCTGCAAGATAAGGTTACTGAAATAAAATGAAGATATAACATGGTGAACTCACGACATGATGGATTTTGATCATAGTAAAAAACTGGCCTCTTTTCCGGGGATACCGTAGCATGACCTGATGTGGTCAGTGTGGCCCTGGGTACTTTTAAGGAATGCTGAAATGTCATCATTAAGGGACTCTTTCCAGAGCACGATCCAAAGACCTGGCCCCCTACATCGTACGGTGAGGGTGAGGGAGAGGGAGACAACGCCGAAGTTTTAGTTGCGAAAGGATTGAAGGTGAAGAATGCTCCCGGTTCGGATGGAACACAAACCAATCCCACCAAGGTGGTCATTCTTAAAACAGGCCTGATAGGACTAGGAACTGTAATTAATAATAATTGAAATTTCAAAGGAACTAAAGTTAAAAAAACCGCATCTGTGTCACTTGATAAGTTATACATGTAAACCCGAGTGTAAACCACACAAATTCAAGAAATATAGATCATTTAAAGTAAAAAAAAAGGTTCGGATGGAATCCCCAACGTGGCGTTGATAGTGGCGATCCAGGCGTTCACGGTAATGTTCAGTCATGCTGCAGAATTGCCTGGATGAGGGTTACTCCCCAGACAGATGGAAGATACAGAAGTTAAGGCCGGCGCACAATAGATACGTTTTCAGGTTTTTTGACAGTTAGCCCATGCATTATCTGTCAAAAAACCCGAAAACGCATCTATTGTGCGCCGGCCTTTAGTGTTGCTGTCGAAGCCAGGAAAACCGCCAGGAGATCCAGCATCGTGTAGGCCTATATGCCTGCTGGATACACTCGGAAAACTCTTTTTTCATAGTTGGTTTATTTTGGAAAACTCTTGGAATGTATTATCGTCAACAGATCGACGAAATGTACGGAGAGTGAACATGCACACTCAGCGACATTTTCCTCGTTCGGTAATTTTTTATCGAAAACGATCGGTAAATGAAGAATTTAACAGATTTTTCGGTAAACAAATATAATTTTACCAACATTCGGTAATATTTTACCGAAGTGACGGTAATCTGGTTATTATATTGACGAACTCAGTAAACAATAGTACAGTAAGAACTGTAAAACAAAGCAAACGCCGAATTCGGTAAAAAAAAAATGTCGAACAAACTGCAAATTACAGAAACGTTTACCGAACTTCTGTAAATAATACAAGACTGTCAAATCGAAATCGGTTTGAATTTTATTTCACTGGCGTTAAATAGCTTACAATATCATCATTCAAACAAACGATTATAGGGCTGCATTGAATCACAGAAAACAGACGTAAAAGTTCGATCAGAAACTTGTGTAAAGTTAAGTGGAAACGTCGCCGTTACGTACCGCTAGCATCTCCTGATTTCCTCTATAAATTTATCACTTTCGACCAATTGGGCGCTAGTATTGATAAATTATCTGTTGAAAATTGCCAGTTGGCGCTACCAGCACTTAGTGTCTAGTGTAAGTTTTGCAACGCCAGCGCCATCATGTTTTCAAAGAGGGTTTTTAAGTGGGGAAGTCGCCGTTAGTGGCGCCTAAGTCAAATAGAAATCTTTACACAAGTTTTTAGAGAAATTTTGTTCGAGCCTCAATGTCTGTTCTCTGTGATTGAATGTTGTTATTAGCTAAGACGGAACTAAGTTTCATAAAATTCAAATTATTTAGAATATTACCAAAGAATTTTTTTTGGTGGACGTTGGCCAGATTTGGATTTTTCAGTTATAATCCTAAATAGGACCTAGATTATCTAATAGTCCGCGCTCGGTCACAATTTGTATTGTAATTAATCAACACTCAATGGGTAAAGTATGAAATTTGAGATGAATGTGAAACAAAGGGAACTTGAAGTGTAGAGTGCACTGCCCACCGGTTGATGCTGAAGTCTGGCCAAGTAAGTGGGTTAGGATCTAATGATTTCTGAATGGACAATACAGTGCAGGTGGACATTTTATTTTATACATTGTACTCTCTATATTATAATCTTTGAATCAGTTTTAGGGTTTTGGGTTAACAGAGGCAGAGCGCTGAGGGACCGCTTAGGGAAAGCATAATGTTCATACTTGAAGGGTTAAGAGCGGCTGAACTTCAGTGGTAGTTTGACCTTCCTTTCAAAACTAATTTGGCTCTAGCACAATTTTAAACTTGTTTTGCATTATTCACATGTTGCAATTATTGAAAAGAGCTCGATATAAACTAGCTTAATACAATTAAATAGAAATGGCAAAATCTTACCGAGTAGTTTAGCTGTTCTGATTTCTGATTTCGGTACAGTTTTTTGAGATCGGGTATAGTTTCTGACTGTGTTGTTTGTGGATTCCCATTTTGAATCAACTCAGATTAGCACAGAGTAATAGTTTTATTGCTAGGGAGCTTTCTTTTGGGATCGTGTTTTCTTCATACAATTCTCATTATTCATCCTATATTAATCATGACCAGTCTTAGAAAATGTTATATGTTTGAGCCCAGTTCTAGATTAGTTTGTTATTAATATCTTTTGAATTGCGCTCGCAAGAGGTTACCACATATGGGTTCACTTTTTCATCCACACGGTGAATGAGATCTTCCCAAATTTGAGTTTAGTTCACTCATAATCGCCAAAAGTGCAGGAACTCAGCGATGAGTAAAATTTTTCTCATGGTTTCCTGTGGAAAACATAAAAAATCTGCCGGAAAATCAGGAAATTGATGAAAATTTTATTCAGTCTCGGAGAAGTACCAATCTTTACTTTTCTCAAATTCAGGAATTTTTCCTTGGAACATCCTGAAAGAACCTGGGAGGGAACACGGCCAGATGTTCAATAGAAAGGAAAAAAGAGCGAGAAAGTGTGAACAAGAAAAGAAGAGAGTAAGCAGTCCGAAAGGATCACGCCGGTTGGAGACAGCCAATTTATACTGGACGGAACTGGTGCGTAGGATAAGAATTGTAAAAGGTGTGTGCTTGCATGATTTACCTATTTTAGAATTACCTATAATTACCATTGCAGCACACACCTAATAATGCTCACTAACATTTATATACTTTCAGCATTATCGATATTATAATCAAAAGGTGAGCTGTAAAGTATAATTACCATGCATAGATATAAGTGAACGTACCAGAACCTGGACGGACACGAGCCTACCCAGGGGAGGACCCGGATACGACCACCCATGTGTGTCTAGAGTATTGCACGAGCTGACGAGTGCAACGGGAAGGACATTAGGTGTGTAAAGAATAGGGGGTAATACCCTAGATAAGCCAACTTAGCGATTGGCACAACCTATACACTGAACAATTACAATTACAATTATTTCCAAAGAAATGTTCTCAATATAAAAGAATTAGAGAATTTTCGTCAAATTTCCAACGATTTATAAAGAAATTGCCTCTATGCGTCTATTTAGGTGCAACTGTGATTTTTAATCTTTGTTGACGCAGCTATGTATTTTAGCATATCTACTATACAATTTTATAGTTTGATCCTAACACCTGTTTCGGATTCAGCGAACCAGTGTTCGGAAAAACTCAAAAACTCAAATCTCATTCATGAGTTTATTTACCTATGAGCTTTAAGTAATCATGTAATCATGTAGAATGATAGTGTCTTCATAGATGCTGGTTTTAATACCATTAGTTGGATTTTCTTATCAATCACATAGAAAATGCATCATTGGCCATTTTCTCAAAATCATTTTTTTTGCTTATAAGACCTATATACTATTACTTGCACTCGACCAATGATTGAACTTACCCTATCTCCTTGATTGACGATCCTTCCTTCTTCCTGCAACTGTGGAAATGTAGACGCTTCGATAAACCTGTCGGGAAACAGCTCCAGAAAACTCGGCACCGGAACATTGGCTGTATCCGGACGATGCTGCAAGGCTACCGATAGTGAGTACTGGAAAAGTGGTCCATTCAATCGATCTCTGCAATAAGCAGCCACTGCGAATAGCATGTCAGGGTTGCTCTGGTTCAGAAATAGTTCTATCAACTGTCCAGCAGCTCGGCGGTCACGCTGGTTGAAAACGGAAAATCCTCCTCGACGTGGAACCGACTGAGCAAAGCTTAGATCGGGAGGAGTGATGTTTTGCAGCGGAATCCTTGTTGAGACATTGGTACCAAAGCGACTCTGTAGCGATTGCCCTATTGTGCGATAACGATCGGTCAGGTAACTTTCGGGAAGATCGAAGTAGACCTGCCCGTTGGATTTTGGCAGGAACATGGGCTCGTACGGACGCTGTAGGAGTCCAAGGAATTTTGTGGTACTGGATGCCATCGTTAATAATGATCGACTGAGTGAAGAACATTCCGCTGAAAGTATTTATAGGTCAAATGTCACGTGCAATTCTGCAACGTTCTAAACGCTACGCCACAAGCGGATGTTGATAAGAATAATGCATGTTACAATGTGGTTTGTTTGATTCTTGCAATACAATTTACAAGATGCAAATTACACTACCGTTCTGAGCAATGTAGGTCACATTGCCTGAGAATAAGGCCGCGGCCAGAGTAGACGCGACACGCGACGCGACTCACGCAAGAAATAATAATAAATGATAAGATTCTTTTGAATTGGTCGCATCGCGTCGCGTTTCACGTCTACTCTGGCCGCGGCCCAACAGTGGTTCTCAGATTAATGTCTGTCGTTGAATCTGGTAGTGAGGATTATCAACCTGGTTGCAGTGTGTATGGGGCACAATAGACGGGTTGGATCAGCCGGATTCCTTTTGAACTTACTATTCAACATTGGAGGCTCTTTGGCATTGTGGATGCCATCGATATCATCGCAATTGTCCAATGAGCAGTGGAAGTGTCGTTCGCTACCCAAGTAACCCAATCTAATTTCCCTTGTTTTATAAGGCTGATTAACGACTACATAATATAAAGTTTCGAAGCCTTATATTAACCTTACATAACGAAAAGGTAATTAGCAGAAAATTAACAGACTACGATAAATGGCCCTAAGTAAAGTATATGATAGTCGGCGAGTTACGTGGTATTAAGAGTGGTGTAAGTATTAAAGTGGTGTCAATCTTGGAACATTTGCGACGAGTGATAATGGTGTTTCTCGAGAGGTTTTTTTTCCCTTGAATTGTTTTCCGTCGATCTTGTTTTCCGTCGATCTTGTTTTCCTTCGATCTTGTTTTCCGTCGAACTTGTTTTCCGTCGATCTTGTTTTCCGTCGATCTTATTTTCCGTGCTGAGCACCAATGCTACCGACGCCAGGGAGGCAGCTCCAATACCCTACCTATCGGTCCATCATCCCTTCCGAAGGAAGGGCGTGATCAGAGATGTTATGCCTCATAACATCCCGGCGGCGCCGACTGGTATTGAACCCAGGCCTGCTGGGGTGAGAGGTAATCACGCTTACCACTACACCACCGGCGCCGCTAATTTCTCGAGAGGTGAAGAGTCTTATTTTTTGAAAGACGACACATGATGAGCACACTGCAAAACAATCAATTTTGAATGGAAGCATTTTAAAAATTCATCGCTATAAAAAAATGATTTAATTTAAATTTAATCTTATAATGTGCTAAGAGCAAGATTAAATAACAATTTCACTGGATTAATTTTCAGTTGCAGTGTATTTTTCTCCGCACGATGTAAAACATATAACATAACATATATATGGCGATCGAATTGACAAGTCGATTAGTTTTCATCCACCCGCGTTTTCGTTTTGCAGCAGAAAATGTCGAAATCAAAATAAAATTTAAGTTTTGTGAAACGGTTTCGGTGATATCGAATGTTTTATCAACAATATGCGCTTCCACAGCCATAAAGTACCTACTTTCAAATGTGGTTTACGGAAGGTAAAATGCTGTTAAATTTCTTCCAGGCTTATATGAAAAATATCTGCGGCAGCAACACTTCTACCAAAGAAGAATACTAAGATGAAACAGTCGGAAGAAAAACTTTGTATTTTAGTGTCCTCTTTCACAGTCCCTTTCATGTGCTTTCATCCAATGAATACCCCTTGTATGCAAGGTAATTTTGTGGTTATGCTGTTCCCTTGGTAGAGTTGAAACTTTGTGCTTTTTTATCAAAACAATCACATCAAAATCAGAGATGTCCCATTTTTTGATTACTGGAGAAGTTAATGTTAATTTACCAGAGCTGGTAAATATCACGGCCGTCATGTGACAATGAGAAAACAGGCCCTCTCACAGTCCGCATCGTGCTCTTTTGCCGTGCGGATCTATTTGCTTTTTGCTGAAGGAAGTGTTACTACTACCTAAAGCTACAACAAATTTAAACAGCACTTTTCAGTGCTCAACCTGTAAAAATTTTCTACCTTGTTCAACTCTTATTCCTCTTCGATCCTTGTTTGGACCCTACCCGAGGTAATCCTTCTTGGATATCGATTTGGAAAATTCCTCTTCGATCCTTCAGATTCTTATAGTAATCTGCTTGGAAGTCGATCTGGATAAAAATTTACTGCCGCCATGGCGCCTAAACGCAAAAGAAAGGGGCAAACTCTTGACCCCCCTTCTGATGAAATTAATTTGAGTAATCAATTTGATTTGCTCACGGATGATGAGAATGATCCATCATCCAAGAAAAATTCTAGTAAACTTTCCCGGCTTAATGCCAAGAAGGAAAAGATTCCCCCTATTGTGATAACCACTTCCGATTTCCATGCTCTTCGCATGGAACTTTTGAACTTCGTAAAAGTTAAGTTTTCTCTACAAATTGGACGTCAGGGTGAATGCCGTGTATTGGCTGAAACCTTGGACGGATTTAAATGTCTTCTCAAGTATCTGAGAAGAAGCACACATTTTTTACTTACGACACCAAAACTGAACGTGTGTTCAAGGTTGTCATGAAAGGACTGCCCAGTGGTGAATCCCTGGATCAGATCAAAGATGAACTGGCAAAATTACTTGGAGTTGTGCCACTCCAAGTAATCAAAATGAAAATGAAATCCCGTCCTGGCGATTCGCGCAACGGGATTTCTAATGATTTTTATTTAGTTCACTTCAAGTCTAGTGAACTAAACAACCTTAAGGCCTTAGAAAAAGCTAGCCTTATGCTCCATGTCCGAGTGAAGTGGGAACACTTCAGGAAGACTGGAGGAAATTTCCAAAACCTCACCCAGTGCCGTAAGTGCCAGGGATGGGGTCACGGAACTAAAAATTGCTACATGCCAGCTAAATGCATGAATTGTGGTGATTCCTCTCACGCAAAGGACGACTGTCCTGTGAAGGAAGATCCTAAGAAATTTAAATGTTCAAATTGTGGTGAAAACCACAAATCCAATTTTTGGGAATGTAAGACTCGCAAAGCGATCCTACAATCTCGTTCTAACCGACAGGTAGGAAGCGCTCCACGTTTCCGACCAGGTACAAATTCCTCTGCTGTTAACAACGGTCAGCGAGGAACAAATTCTACATTCGTACCCGTAGGTACAAATATCACCCCTGCTTCAAATGTTTCATCTGTACCTACTCCCCTCGCTGCTAACAATGTTCAGCGAGTTAATGGAGCTACCTATGCTGCTATTGCAGCGGGTAGAAATCAAAATACTAACCAAAGTAATTCTATTTAACGGAAATTTTGACAATTTTGACTTAGGAAGCATTACTGCCCCTAAAATGGAATTTTTACAGAAATCATTAATTGACATGATTTCTGATATGCTTAAATCTAACTCCATGTTTGATGCTATTCAAACTGGAGTAAAATTTGCAAATAATATTGTCATGACTTTAAAATTCAGTAATGGATTTTAAAGCATTAAATATTGTAAATTGGAATGCTCGATCTCTTAAAGATGATGAAGACGAGCTATTTAACTTTTTGCGAGTTTATAACGTGCATATTGCCGTTATAACTGAAACGTTCCTTAAACCTGACCATAAGGTTAAGAAGGACGCAAATTACTTGATTTATAGAAATGATCGTCTTGATGGACCCTGTGGTGGCGTTGCCATCATTATTCATAGACGAATCAAACATAAAATTCTTTCTTCATTTGAAACCAAAGTTTTTGAAACTTTGGGAGTTTCTGTTGAAACAAAATTTGGACAACTTACGTTTATAGCTGCCTATTTGCCATTCCAATGCGTAGGCCAGAAAAAGAATTTTCTCAAGGGTGACCTCCAGAAACTTACCCGTCATAGGTCTAAATTCTTCATTATTGGTGATTTTAATGCAAAACACCGCTCATGGAATAATGCTCAAAGCAATTCCAATGGTAATATTCTGTTTGATGATTGTTCTGCAGGTTATTACACTATTCAATATCCAAACAGCCCAACATGCTTTTCTTCTGCAATAAATCCCTCCACTATTGATTTGGTCTTAACTGATTCATGTCAACTTTGTAGCCAATTGGTTACCCATGCTGACTTCGGTTCTGATCACCTTCCAGTAACTTTTGAAATATCCCAAGAAATAATTTGTAATCCCAACAGCTCTACTTTCAATTACCATAGAGCTGATTGGGAGCAATATCGAACATTTATGGAATATAACTTCGATCCAAACATTCCTTTGCAAACCAAAGATGAAATTAATTATGCTCTTGAATCTCTGACTACTTCTATAGTTGAAGCAAGAGCAGCCTCAGTACCAAAATGCGAGGTTAAATTCGATTCAATTATAATAGACGACGATCTTCAGCTCTTGATCCGTCTTAAAAATGTCCGTAGGAGACAATATCAAAGAACACGCGATCCTGCCATGAAGGTTATCTGGCGGGATTTGCAAAAACAAATTAAAAAGCGATTCTCTGCCCTGAGGAACAAAACTTTTGAAAATAATATTTCTAAGTTAGACCCGAGTTCCAAACCCTTTTGGAAACTCACAAAAATTTTGAAAAAACCTCAAAAGCCTATTCCAGCGCTTAAAGAAGGTGGTAAAATTTTGATCACAAATTTGGAAAAAGCTCAGAAACTTGCTAAGCAATTCGAAAGTTCCCATAATTTCAGTTTGGGTCTTACTAGTCCTATTGAGAATCAGGTTGCTCGGGATTTTCTGAATATTTTCTCTCGGGAAAATATTTTTGATGATTCCTGGGGGACTGATTTGGACGAAGTAAGGTCTATAACTAAAAAGTTTCAAAATATGAAAGCTCCAGGTGATCATGGAATTTTCTATATCCTCATCAAAAAACTCCCAGAGAGTACCTTGTCTTTCTTGGTAAAATTATTTAACAGATGTTTCCATTTGGCATACTTTCCTGATAAATGGAAAAATGCAAAAGTTGTTCCAATTTTGAAGCCGGATAAAAATCCAGCTGAAGCTTCTAGCTACCGCCCAATAAGTTTGCTTTCTTCAATAAGTAAACTTTTTGAAAAGATAAT